CGCTCGCTGCCATTGCGCTCGTCGCGCTCGTCGTCGTGTCCGTTTTTAGCGTGCGTCGGCATCGCAACCGCTTTGGGGATCGCGATGACCATGTCGTCGCGCTGGACTCGACGGGCATTGCCGTGTTGCTGTCGACACCAGCGGCCAAACTCTAAGCAGCGCCGTGGACGATGGACCATACACCCCCCTGCTTCGATTGACGTATTTTCTCTTTTACACTAGTAGGTGTGTACTATGTAGGACAATATTCTATTTGAACATCTTTCTTCGATGGGTTGGCAAGGATCTATGGAGGGAGTTTAACGGCGGGTTGGATGGTCGTGCGGATGGTCAGTTTGAGCAAGCGAGTGACGACAACTATCTATCTTGTCTCCTGCACAAGTGCAGGAAGAGGCTTGATGACCACACCGCTACCAGGCTTGAACTTGAACCGAGGTTCGCTCGCAATGGGTCGCACGCTTCACCTCGGTGGCCCTTGGGGCACATGGACTTGAGTCTGCAACGACGCTTCGTGAATGAATATGCAACATATAGTATGGCAGTATGACTCTGGCGCCTTGAGACATAGTAGTGTCCAAAGGGCCAGAGACCCGCCTTCCTCATCTATCGGCGTCGTCGTCGTTGGTCAGGCATGTCCATGAGCTATTCAAGATTGCGATTCCACCAATGAAATGCCAGCAAAACCAGTCAGGATACTATCCCTCGCAGCACGAGCATCCAGTAGCACCGATGGGCTCTTTGCGTTCCTTCGGATGACGTGACTCCTCATGATATGTCGATATATGGTATTCTCCATTGGTTGGTGGAAATCTTGGTCTTAATGTCCAGCGTTTGCCATCAAAAGCTTGGGTTGCGTGCATCTAGCCAACCTTTCAAACATGATATGAATATCAAGTATGAGAGACGTGTGCTTGCAGTGTGCAAATCCAAGAAGCATGAGCTCGCGCCCGGACGGCTGGAAGCACCTTGGCCGGTCGGCCGACGAAGGACAGGAGCGCCGCCGGCAAGATGCAATCGCCCGGCAGCGCCAGGCCCGGCGGGACCTCACCATGCACGTCCGCGAGATGGCGATTCCGAGCGTCGAGGCCGACCTCGAGGACATCACGG